GCCCCGGGTCGACCCAGCCGTCCCCGCCCGGCCTCTCTCTGGCGGCGCCCGGTTCTCTGCTGGGGGAGGCAGACTCCATGCGGGACGGGGCGTCCACAGGGTTGCCCAGGAAGGAGCCAGGGGAAGGCCGTCGAGGGCTGCGGTGCGCTTACCTCAAGTCGCGGGTTCTCAATCACAGGGCCGCATCTCCTTCGCCGCTGAGCTGACTCCTCGCACCTGCGACAGAAAGCCGAGGGAGACTTCCGGTGGGCTCTCCCTTCCGGAAGTGCCGAGTGAGGACTTCCGGGTCAGGCTTGCCTCGGCCCTGACCTCTGCCTCCTGTCGGTGGCCGCGGCCAGCATTTCCTCCTGGCCTCTGCTGCCATGAGGCAGGAGTGACTGTTGGGTTAGACACAGCACTTGGACCTTCAGTTGCACCCCGCGTTTCAAGTGCTCAGTGGCTGCTGTGAGGGCTGCGGTGTAGATCACAGGGTAGGGTGCACCGTGCTGCTCTCCAGAGGAGGGTTTTGTCTTGTGGGACTCTAACCACTATGTAACCCCTAGTTAGCCAGCATATAGCAACACACATTTCTTTCTACCCAGCTCCAAGATAAGATTAAAACAGAGTGTATGGAAGCCTGGTACGGGTAAACAAGATAGTGACTCAAGGCCTCGTTAGAACAGAACAGCCTGAGGGCTGAAGATGAAGGACCAGGTGCACCGTATAGCTGACTCTTTTAGACAGATGGCAGAAAACCGACCCCCTGACCCCTGGCCCATTTACTGTGCTTGCAATCCTCTTCAATTGCCTTTAAAAAACTGCTAACCCCTGTGCTGGGCCTCTCTGAGCTGCTCAGTTCTGAGAGCACCGTCTGGCCAGACTAATAAAGGTCTATTTACCAGCAAGCCTGGTGTGTTCCTTCCTGGGTGACTCTCGCTGCTCATCGAGCTCCTGGAGCCTCACTGAGCTATAGGTCCAGCATCTTGGAGGCCCCTTTGCGCTGTTCAAGGCTCCCGGAAGTAAGGCCCTGGGTCTTGTATCTGGAGCCATTGTTGGACTATAGGACTCAGCATCACGAAGGCCCTTTCGGCTGTTCACGCTCCTCGAAGTGGAAGTGAGACTTTAGGTCTTACAGTCTGGGTGTCCTCATTTTTTTTTTTTTTTCATTAAAGTGCTCTTTGGGTAGAAAAAAGGGCAAAAAGTTGTCCTGCTCCATCCGCAGGAAGCACGTCCGGCAGGGAAGGGCGTCACAAAGCCGGCCCAAAAAGTGGGCTCTCCAGGGACACCGGCTATGTGGCATCTTCTCTTTAGGAGAAATCATTCTTCAAACTTATGACAAAGAGATGCCTAATGAAAATGTCTGGGACCTCTTTTGGGAACAGAATAGCCCAATTTTAAAGCAAAAAAGGAGGTTCTGAGCTGGCCTTTGGGCCAGCCACCAAGTCTCATTAGCCCTGGCATCTCCAGGCATCTGTTTTGTGCCAGGCATTATTTTAGTATGTGGGAATACAGCTGTGAGCCCCACAGAGATTTTCAGTCATAGTACTTACAGGGAAGGGCCCGACACACGTGTGAATAACAGCATCTCAGTCAATATCTTGGGTCCAGGACGGCTGTGTGACTCAATCATCCCACACTCTTCCATCCCGAGCACCATGCACTCTGCTCTTGGTACTCCCCATGATCTCCGAGCAGCCACTGGAGGTCCACATGTGCGGACAGTGGCAAGAAGTACAGGAAGGGGCTCAGAATCATCCCACTACAATGGGAATGAGCCAGTGCCCCAAACCTGGCGTACAGAGTTCCAAATGGGACAAAGCACCTGTTGTCAAAGGTCGAGTGACCAGAACCTGAGGAAGGACTTATAACTATAGGTAGAAAAATGTTTTCCTTCACTAGGTAAAGATGGATACAATGTAACATGTCCCGTGAGAGCGAAATAGAATTTGCCAGGCACATGAAGGACACTTGGGGGATGTGGCAGTGAGTTGCCAGGGAAGCCTCCTGAAGAAGGTGATTGTGTGTGAGGTCTTGAAGAGGAGCAGAGCAGGGCGCTGAAAGGCGGGGAGGCGGTACGTGTGCCACAGGGAACAGAAATGCCTGGACCCAGCATGCAGGGTCTGCAGTGTGGGCAGTACAGTTTGGAAGGATAAATGGCCCTTGGATAGGGCCAAACGCGGCATTTGCAAACCTCAGAACATAATGCTGCAGGCAAGGACACATCCGAAAATGCTCTCAGCATCTCCATCAGCAAGGTCACTTGTTGCCAGCTTGAGGTGTCAGCCCCTGAAGAGCACCACAAACACCCACCTTCTTGTTTCCCACTTGGAGCAGCTCCAGGGGTGCAAACCAGGCTGGTACAGGGCAAGCCTGGGCTTGAAAGCTCAGATCAGGGGGCGGCAGCCTCTGTCCCGCTACCAGTTGGCGAAGCCCAGTGGGCAGCTGGCTGACAATCCTGTAGAAGACTAAAAGCAAGAGAGTTTCTACTGGGAATATCCTGGAAGGAACAGGGGCGCCATCTTGACTTGCTGGGATTACAGGCATGTACCACCATCCCCAGCAATAACCAGAATTTAAAAACAGAAAAATGAGGGTAAGTTTGCAGAATTCTGTATTCAAAGGACTAACTTCTTTACCAAAAGTTCTCACTGCTCAATAAAAATATAAGGGGCCATGGACTTAGCTCAGTGGTTCCGCCACCTACCTCACAAGTGCAAGGTCCTGAGTTCCATCCCCAGTACCAAGAAAAGAAAAAAAACACAAGGGCTAGAAGGGTAGCTCAGTGACAGAGCACTCACCTATCATGTACAAGGCCCTGGGTTCCATCCTGAGCACTGCAAGAGGAAAGCGGAGAAGTGGGGATAGGTAAATAGGGAGAAAGGAAAAGAATCAGCAATCTATTCCCCATCCCTGGATGCCTCTGTACACCTTATCTGTCTGCACACAACCCCGTGAGTTACACTGTCATTGACTCCAGCGACCTGCAGTGGCCACAACAGTGTTTGTAGTTTACAGCAAAGTCTGTAATGCAGTTTTCAGATAATGGGTTAATGTTTGGATACCCATTTCCTGAACCATAACCCAATTCCCTCACCAGTGGCTTGGCTGGCTGGAAGCAGCTGACACTTTCAATCCTGCAATGCTGGTGAAATGAAATTTCACACGCTCCTGCTGTTTTTGATGATATCCGCTGACTTCCAGCTGATGCAATGTCACAGATAGCCAACGCTGCACAAGTGGCAACCCTGAGGTCACCTGGCTGTCACTACTGGGCTTCCCTTTAGTGGGGGCTGAAGCATAGGGTGCTCTGCAAAAAGCTGGAGGGCTTAGGAAGTGGATGAAAAGGGCCGGCCTCTCCCTGACCCAGAATACAGCTCCTTCTAGAGAACCTCAACACATGTCCTGGTTCAGCCTCAAGCACTGTAATCTGTTGCCATAGGACGATCTGGGGAAACCAGTCAGTTCTGTGGTTTTTCAAGTTATGCTCCTTAGAAGGTTTGGGCACCTGCCTGGCAGGTGCAAGGTCCTGAGTTCAATCCCTTGTTCAAAAAAGAAAGAAAGAAAAAAAGTTGGGAGTCACCCCCAGGCAGTTTGGAGGTGAAACCAAAAGGACAGGATAGATCTGAGGTTCCACGGAGACCTGATTATATGCTTACTGGCTTCCATCCAGCTTCCATGCAAAGCTTGAAGACCACTAAGCTCATCTGGCCCCTCTCCACTGCAGAAAGTAAAATGGAGGCTGAGAGGAGAGGTGGAAGCTGTGACCCAGGTCTCCCAGCCCTAGGGCTCTTTCTCCACTGTCCCATATCCCCACCACCCCTGTGCTCTCCTACAGCCAGGTCATCATGGTAAGAGGTAGGTTAGCTAGCTAGAAAGGGACAGGGCCTACCGTGGAGTCAGAGTGCTCAGCCTTACAAAAGCAACACCTCCCCAGGTGAAGGCTTACCTCAAGCCACATCCTCACTGAGCTCAGGAAAGTGAAAGCAAACAAGGAAGGCACCGTCACAGCTGACCCCTGGCTCTCTGCTTTGTTCTCCCTAATTACACAAGATTCTTCACTAGCCAGAGTGTTGCCATCAGCCTAGGGTTCTTTTGCTTGATTTTGATGGAAATTGTGCATTAGCCAAGTGCAGCTTTGCTAGAAAGTCTTGGTGTCACCAGATAACACTGGCTCACACTGGATGCCAACAGTTGACACTACAGCTTCCAGACACTGCCAAATGATGCCACCGTGTGCTGGTCACCATGGGTCAGCCCTATCAGACACGAATTTTGGCTTCTGGTCTCTGGAATCTTTGGTGTTAACAGCTCTGAGAGTTTGTCTTTCTTTGCAAACAAACCTCTCCGTCCGTCCGCACTACCTAAGAAGTGAGTTAGGAGCCTGTTTACAGAAACACAGCGAGTCTTTATTCTAACAGGGCCCATGCCGCAGCACCGAGGGCGGGAACCTGGGCAGGGTCCCGCAGGGTGCCCTCCCAGACTGCAAGGAGCCCCCGGGAAGTGTGTCAGTGAGGGTGAGTGAAATCAGGGACTCTTCCAGAGGGCCTTCTGTGAATGCTGGATATGAACGTAGGGCCCAGGTCGCTCCCTTCCCGACCTTAGCCACCCTGGGATCCCTCTCCCTTCTCAAAAATACAACAGGACCATCTGAAGCAGCAGGAATGGGGAGTGTATCACAGTGCATGACTGCATGGCTGCACTTGTGTTGGAAAGAAAATGGCAGTTTTATAGCCAGAGAGGACACTAAAGCAAACTGTGCGGGTCCTTTGGGGTACAAGGGGGAGCAAAGGAAGCAAGGCGGAGGGGCAGGCAGCCACTCCAGCAGTCAGGGGAAAGGAGGGCCAGGCCCTTCTCCATCTCAAGAATGTTTGATCAGTGAATGATCAGTGTTTGATCAGTGCATGCTCTGTTCCGCTATGGGTTATACTGGAGCATGACAATCATACACAAATTCTACAGGCTAAGCCCACCTCTCCAGAGGGGCCGAGATTACAGGCAGTAGGACGGGCAGGTGGGACTCTGACCCCAGGAAGGAATTCCTTAAGTAAAATGAAATGTAGGGAGGGCCCTACATCCAGGCTGGGATTCCAGGAATTTAAAAAGACTGAGTAACTTAGTTTTCTTTAAACTCTACATTAGAAAGCCTGAGTCCTAATTGGCTATTTTAAACCCACAGGGCTACTTGTGATAAGTGACCACTGAATAATGAACAGATTGCCAGCTCTGTTTATTCAGAAAAGATCCCTGACAGAGCCCACTCTGGTGCCTGTTTCAGGGCCCCTCCCAACTCAGGAGCTCGCTTTCTTCCTGTCAACTTTGTCCACAATTTCATTCTTCGACCTGTGAAACACCAGCCTGATTTGGGCAAAAACTCCATGAAGTGGGTTGGCCAGTCTGGCTTCGGCTTTGAATAACAAAATGCTTCCCAGCATCCTGGGCACCTCCTGACTACTGGGCCCCTGCGGATGGGCTAAGCAGGCAGGATGTTTAGATCAGCTGCATGGGGCAGAAAACCCAAAATAACAGTTGCTTACAGGATACAAGTGTGTTTCCTTACTGCACAGGAACACAGAGCGGTGTGGCAGTTCCATGAAGTGTTGAGGATCTCAGGCTCTTTCCGATCCCTCCCATCCCAAAGACACAGCGCTTGTCCTCAGGGTACAGAATGACAACCAAAGCCCACAAACCACATCCAAATTCCAGGGAGCAAATGGGGAGGCAACCAATAACATGACCAAACGGAGATGTTATTTCAAAGGGAGGTTTCCTGAAAAGCTATGACATACCATCTCTACTACTAGTCTTCAAACAGAACTAGCTGCTTACAAAATATATGAAAAATGTAGGCTTTTCTTCTAGGTATCTGTCTTCACAACGGAACACTGGAGCATCTGTCTCAAAGGAAGGAGGGAAAACTGATACTGGGTAGGCAACTGGCAGTCTGCCACAGAAGAATTCATTCATTGACCCTCGTAACAGCCTTGGGAAGTAATTCTATTATTATCTCTACAGATGAGGAAACTGAGCCTAGAGAAGATTCTTGACCAAAAGTCCTGGCTGTCTGTCATGCGGCCCCGGGCCAGATCCGCCCCACCGAGCAACTCCCAAATTCCCAACCACAAAAATGAGCTGTAGCCTCTGTATTCTCAATTTGAGCCACTTCATTTCAGGACAGAGTGTTATGCACACTCACGTGTTACTGAATGCATCCTCCACGGACATGCGTCAGTTAGGGCTCAGAGAGGCTGCCCATGGTATAGAAAAGGCCCCGCTCCGACAGGGGCCGGGTCTGCTTGAGCCTGCACGCTCCGCAGCCAGAACTCATGCTTCAAACCCTGACCTCAGAGTTCCCGTCTTACACTTTGCAAAGCTAAGGGGACAGGGGTGGGGCTGGAGGTCTTCTGAAATCCCTCCGGCCAGCAGCTTTAGCTGCAGGAAGACAGAGGCTGCGAGAGCCAGGCCCGGCACCCCTGCCAGGCCAGCTAGGACTTTCTCCTCGCTCACAGGTTGCGACCTGGGGCCGCTGGAAGACAAGAAGGCCCGGGCCCCTCTGTGTGCAGCAATGCCCTGCCGTACTGCACTAAGGAGGACACAGAATCTTCCGGCCCCAGCGGGGTCTCAGGGAAGAGCATGTATACAGACACAGTTCAACTCCTGGCAAAGACCTGAGGCTTAGGTCAGAACCCACAGCAGACAAGGAAAGCTGTGAATGACCCAGGCCTGGCCACCGAGATCGCTAAATCAGTGATTCTCAGCCCTCGCGGCTCTGACCTCCCCAGGGGACATATGCAATGTGGACATTGTCACGTCACAGACATTCGGAGCTGGCACAACAAGGGCAGGGGCATGGCGGGCACCCAGATGGTCAGAGGACAGCAGGGATGGCAGGGGGCACAGCACAGAGTCATGGGGGTTATCCTGCCCAGAACAGCACCAGGCCTGGCCCGGAACAGGGGCCAAAGGAAGCCACCGAAGAGCGGGGAACACCAGCTAGCAAATAATGACTTTCCCCCAGAATGTCATAGGGCACAGGGACCTATTTCCTGAAGGCAAGATCGAGAAATAGCTCAGGGTTAGACCACAGGGCTGAGATAGTGTGCGCGCTCTCTCATTCACACAGCACACGTACACACACACACACACAGGATTCACCTGACATGGCAGATCTTGATGAACTACAGGCGACCAAGATGAACCTTGGAGTGGAACCACCCAGGGGCAAGCCTGGGATGGCCAGGGCTGAAGTGTAGTACTCAGGGTAGCTCTTCCGGACAGTCTTCAGGCCCCAGGGGAGGCTCCTCTTCGGGAAGGCCTGGCCCGACGTCCTGCAGGCCGTCAGGCATGGCCTCGGTCCTGGTGTTTTGGACGCTGGCTCCCACCCTCCTCTCCCCAAGACCCCGTGCCCAGTGAGGTTCGCATACCGGGCTTGATGAGGACACGCCGTCCTGGGGTTCCTGCCACATCCCTGCGGAAGAAGCCCCTCAGAGGCAGGAAGAGGGGCAGCGCCTCGAGAGGACCCGGGTTCACCAGGGGCCCCCCGCCCAGCAGGGCTGCTACGCTTTCATTAAGTGTATGTAGGACAGTGTTGAATCTGATAGTCCCAATTTGTGTCCGCTTGCATAAAATCCTTATTTGCCATTTTGAAAATTAAATCCTTTTGTGGAAAGAGAACTGAATCTTAGAATCAAAAGCCTTGGGTTCAGATCCTGACTCTGTCACTTAATGGCAGTAGTCAAAAATGTATTTCTGAGTTGGGCATGGTGATACACATCCATAATACCATCACTCTGGGAGGCTGAGGCAGGAGGGCCACAAGTTCAAGGCCAGCCCAAGGTACTTAGCAAGTTAGAGAAATTTTTTAAAATAATAAATAATTTTTAAAATGTTTTCTAGTGTCAGTATATAAATACTGAATAGAGATGTAGCTTAGTGCAAAGGCCCTGGAGTCAATTCCCAGTATAGAAAGAAATAATAATAATAAAAGTCTGAACTTCTGTTGTCCTACATCCAAAACAGGAACAAGAACAGTTTTGTCTTCACAAAGCAACAGCACATTTCACAATGTGTGAGAGAGGTAATCTATGGTATGGCCCTCAGATAAGGTTTCCTTGTACAAAAACAGCACTGCTGGTGAGTGCAGTGGTTCTCTCCTCGGGCTGCAGTATTACTAACGGAGCTCCAGCTGTCCATGAAAGCTTCGAATTCTGATTCGGCTCCTGGCCCCACTCCTGGTGGACAGGCTCCGCCGCCCTGCCCCGTGGAGGGCTGTAGCACTTGGCAGGCCTTCTCCCTTCCATACCCGACTCCTACCAGGTACCTGCTGAGTGCCACCTGGGACAGAGCTTGGCAGGGGCCGCTCAGTAGCAAGGTCAGAGAGCTTGCCTCGCCTGTGTGAGGCCCTGGCTTCAATCCTCAGTGCTGCAAAATGCATTAAAAAATAAACTGGGCATAGTGGTGTGCGCCTATAATCCCAAAATTCCGGGAGGCCGAGGCAGGAGGATCACAAGTTCAAGCCCAGCCTGAGAAACTTGGTGTCTCAAAATAAAAAGTAAAAAGGGCTGAGGATGCAGCTCAGTGGGAAGGCTCTGAATTCAATTCCCAATGCTGCAAAGTAAATAATAAGCTGGCTTCCGGCTTAATAAAATGTGGACTGTGACAGCACTTGACTTGCCAGAAGTTAAACTTCGCTCCGCTGGATGAAACACTTCCTCCACAGTCTGCATCAAACTGGTCTTTACATTCAGAAGTGTACCGCTGAATCCCAGGGAGCGGACTGCCTGGACTGTAACCAGAGCAAACACCTAAGGGAGAGGACGAGGAAGGCCCGGACCTTGGGCCTCGGAGCAGCCCGGGTGGGGACAGCGGGGAGCCGCGGACCTGGGGTGACCGACCCGCCCACAGTACCCCAGAGCGTCAGCAGGTGGCAGCGCCGCTCAGGATTGCAGCGGCCTGCGGGTGGGGGAATGGGAGGCTCTGCTCGCCCAGCGCCTCCGAGTCCACACCCCACTCCCCGGGCTTCCTGTCCCTTCAGCGACGTTCCCACCACCGCCCCAAAATCCCTCCCGACGGCGCTGGCTGTCGGTCACATTTCAAAAGCAGAGCTATGGCCTCTGCTCTGGCTGCACAGCGGCTGATCGCGCGCTTAGTTGTCGAGGGAAACCCACAGGAGCCCATCTCCTCGCTCCTGGGAGCTGACACCCAAGAGAAGGCCGTCCAGGCACCCAGACGCCAGCGGGACGCTTGGGACAAAGACGTGGACAGCTGCCACCAGGGCCAAGGCTCAGCTGCTCAGGAGGCTGAGGCGGGAGGATCGCTTGAGTTCAGGGGTTCGAAACTCCAGGGAGACTTAGGGAGACCCCATCTCTGCAAAATATGTATATATAGCCTTTGAACTTATGGGAAATTACTGTTTTTGAACTTTTTGATTATGAAAGAAATCAACATTGAAAAGCAGATAAAATAGTATGACAAACCTAAACCCCACTACCTTTTCTTTTTTGGTACCAGGGATAAAACTCAGGACCTTGTGCTTGCAAGGCAGGTGCGGTGCTGCTGAGCCTCATCCCCAGATGCTGTCTGAAACTGCACACCTGAAGGTTCCTCAGGGAAAATGGAAGCTTGCATTGCTGAGGACCCTAAGATGTTTTGCTGTTGTTGGTGTTTTTTTGTTTTTGGTTGGTTTTTTGGGGTTTTTTGTTTGTTTGTTTGAGGCAGGGTCTCACTATGTAGTTGAGACTGACCTGGAACTCACTATGTAGCCCAGGCTGGTCTCGAACTCACAGCGATCCTCCTGCCTCAGCCTCCTGAGTGCTGGGATTACAGGCTGCACCACTCTAAGTGCATCCCCGGCTAAGCCAGCTAAGGACCCTAAAATGTAAGTGGCCCTGGCACCCCAGGGCCCTCTCCCACCGGGGTGTCTGCAGTACCCCAATCTGTGAAAGTGACACAGTGTAGTCTCTGACACCACCACACACAGCCCCGGATCACGGCGTGTGATGAGCACGGTTAAAATCAGGAGCGTCGCGTTGGTCCCCTTTCACATTCCGTGTGTTGGGAGTCTAAGGACTCTTCTGCGCTGGTTCCTTAGCACATAAATAAGAAAGTGCCATAAATAACTGCAGCAACACCTTGAGCCCAGCCCCAGAACTGCAGAGCTCCCTCCTGCTGGCCGAGATGGCGGCGTCACCCTCCAGCAGTGAGAAAACGCAGTGCCTTTCTGCCCACGTATTTTACTTTCCACAGTGTCCTGCAGTCCCCCCTGGGGTGGCCGGATGACAGGATGCCAGACTGCCCCTGGTCAGCAGCATGTCTTCATCCGCGCGCCCTGACCCATCCGGCTCTCTGGCTCGGCCCTGCTTTCCTCTGCGTAGGCACCGAGTCCCCCAGCAGGAAGCCCTCACAGGAGTCAGGCCCGGGCCCAGCCGCCCCTCCACACAGGGGAGCCAGTGCCCGAGACACCAGTCCCGGGGCACCCCCGCCTCGCTCTCCTCAGCCCCACCCCTGACCACAGCCTGCAGACAGCTGAGGGATCTCCCATCGCACCAGGCCAGATTCAGTTTCTCTTCCATTCCACAGGGGTTCCGGGGCTGCTGGGGACCGAAGATGTCAGAGGCTCGGCCGCCCTGTTTCCCTTTCCTTCAGCCAGAAAAGATAATGATACTGTGGTGCTTATCTTGTTCTTCTCTGATGACAATGAATTTTTAATGAACTGTCACAGGAAATTAAGAAAAAATGAACAGATACATGCAATTCTCCTGCTAAAGTCCCCACTTACGGTTCTGAAAAGTCACAAGACCTTCTTTCCAGCAAGTGGGGAAACCCAGCACAAGCGAACTATTACCTACATCTGGGCTTCTCTACACACATGACACAGTTACATACATAACTGTACTAACAAACATAGACTTAACTACACTTAAGTACATTAGTAACAATGACTCCCCAACTCATTAACAAATAATCTCAGGCAAATGTGCTTTCTTTTGCTCTACAATCCATGAAATGCATTTGTATTGCAGATACTCTGGAGATCATTCTGGAAACACACAAACACACAATTATTTATTCACAGAAAATGCCACTGAGGGCTTTAATATGAAATATAGTCATTTCACAGAATGCATCAGGTGCAAAGCGCCTCTCAAAGGCCTCCAAGCATTCCACAGCCATGGAGACGGACCGGCATGCACAGTGCAGCTTATGCAGTGTATAGAGCAGTCTGCATCTGCCCGCGCTGTGCCTGTTCCGGTTACACGCCATTGTTACAGAATTCTCTAGCACAACCTGACACACAGGGAGGACACAGCAGCGAGCCCTTGACAGCAGGGGAAGCACAAGGCTCCAGTGAGAAATCTGTGCACACCTGAGAAACCCACTGAATGGAATAGTGGCAGCATGTTCACCGCTCTCCCAGGAGAACCAGCACAGCACACTGGTGTACAATTCGTGTTTCAGGCACTCTCTGTTGGACAGGCACAGAGTACCCCAAAGCAGATGTCTCATCCCCACACACTAAATGTGATCCCCAAAGCACTCACTGTGTGATGACACCACCTGGGGGGGCTGCCTCTCCTAAAGGCATAGTAATCAATCAGACAGTATAAGGTAGGAGTCACCGGCGGAAGAGATCACGGACTAACGCTGAGGGTTTTGTATCGTAAATCCAGGTACCTCTGGATAAGAAGCCCAGGTGAATTCTAACCAGAACAAAACTCAGAGGCCTCGCTGAATAGCCATGGCCAAGACCTCACTCCCAAACTCCTTCCTGCTGGGCAGAAGGGATGGAGATTCTTGATTACATTCCAACTAATGAAATAAGCTATTCATTTTTAAAGCTGAGCACATCAAAATCTGAGTTCCTCTATCCCAGCACAGAAGTATAACAAAATGGAGATTTCGGTCCATCACTTCTCAGGCCTGGCCACTGGGCTGACTGAGAAGGAAGGTCCGGGGGTTAAGTCTCCGATCGCAGTGATCAGCACTCACACGTACAACTAGCACTGGTGGACAGCACACCTGCTGTGCACACGCGCAACTGGCATTCACCTTTCAAAGACAGAATAAACTGTCAAAGCTCGAAGACATTTATGCATGACTATGTTAGTGGGGAAAAGGTGAAAATAAGGAAACACACCCAATACCAAAATACTAACCATGGTTGTACTTAGGTGAGAGAAATAAGTTTTTCTTCTTCTACAACTGTTTTTAGTTTCCCAATTTTCTTTAAAGACCATGTAGTGCATTGATATAAGTATGAATGTGCCCTAAACTCAACTTAAAGTAAGATTAGTATATTTTATTATCATGACTTGTCCTATCCTGGCAAGCTATGTGATTTCTGTCGAAGAGTAGTTTTGTCCTCAGATATACTCCGTTCCACTTTTCTTCTCTGCTCTCATCTCCTCAGACCCAGTCTCTAGAAAGGCACAATGCTTTTCACATAAAAACCATGTCTGATATCTTAACTTCATCATTTTTCTTTAGAAGAGGGATAAAAACAGCCCAGTGAATCGGGGACTTATTCCTCCCCCGCCCCACTCAAGTCTGCCCTCTGGTAACATTTTATCCCTGCGTTTAGGAGCTGGAGGTGGGATCAGCACAGCCCTGAGGAGTAAGTTCTTCCCTGAGAAGAAGCCTGCAAGGACAGTCCTGTTACTGCGAGCCCTGGACACGTTCACGACACACCACACACACACACACACACACACACACACAAGTCGCCTCCTGCCTTACCCCTGCACTCACCCTGCTGTCTGTCATTCTAAGACGGCCAGGCTGGACATACACCAAACTTACTGCCGTAGCACATCAGACTAGAATCCATGCCTGCTACGGCCACCCTCAAATGAACAGGGTCTGGTATTTCCCTTTTTAAAGTTCTAGACTTGAAACCCAAAAGACTTCACAGCAGTTTTAGTCCACAAATCTCTAGGCCTCAGCAAGGTACGTGAGAAGTTCCACTTACGTTCTATCCAACGTTATCTTAAAATATATTTTTAGGCTATAATAAAGCAACATGTGCATGCATTTAAATATCATATTTTACTATCCGGGAGACCATCAATTTGTTTATTTGCATTTTTACTGCCTGATGTATTAAATAGATGCTATAAATTTAAGTTCATAAAATTAATTTATTTCACACATTGGCATTCCATAAAGATTTCCAGCTATGAGAAGAAAAAGGAAATAGCCTAGTGGGTTATTTAGGAAATCCAAAAATCAAGAAAGTTGAATGAAGTCCTTCATTTTTAAACTCTCAATTCAGCTGCTGATTGGCCTTTTCATCTCGGATCCTGTGTAGTCTACACAGACCGAGCCCTGGGCAGGTGAGAAAAGCCACTTCTCAGCTCTGGACAGCAACGGCCCCGTCCCCTCGGGAAGGGTAGGAGGGGCTAAAAGCAGTATCCCTGAGCTGTCAGTCCCTCCTCACTCCCTGAAGACGGCTTTGGAGTCCAGGGAAGGCGAGGGGGGAAGCCGAAGGCGAGGACGCCCGCTGCCACTGCGCCCCAGGCGGGCGGTCAGGGCACGCACTGCTGCATCCGGAAGCCCCAGACGGTGAGAGCGCGGGGCCTCCCTGCAGGAAATCAGAGATGACGGCAAGACTTTTTCCCTTGTCTTTTCTTTGGCTTTTTCCTAGCATTGGGATAGAAACCAGGTGCACTCTACCGTTGGGCACACCCCGGCCCTTTTTATTTTGAGCTGGCCCAGGCTGGCTGCTACCTCCCGAAGAGCAGGGGTCATAGTCATACACGCCGTGCCCAGCACGGTGAGCTCTTGGAGGTCATTTCCAGAGCAGCACGGTATACTGGAGGCGTCCAATATGAAAACATTACAAACCAAAAATCTCCATGTTTGCTCCAAAGTCTAGGCCAAATCCCCCAGCAAAACTGCAGGGACTGGGGAGTCGGGGCTGGGGCATGGCGGAAGCTCGCTCCACCGCCGCCCTCTGCACCTGAGCCTAGGAACCGGGCGGGGCTCCCCGGGGAGACGACGTCAACCTTCAAAGCGGCGCTCTGTGCTTGGCTTGGAGAAGGACGGCGTGGGGTCTGGCACGGCCAGCCACCTTCGGATGCAACCTCTGCCGCTCAGCACAAATCCCGCAAAGCCGGGTGGGCTGAGCCACCGGCCCCCTCCGCTCGCCCTGCGGGCGCGGTGGTGCTGGCCCTGGCAGGGCAGTTTCCCTGGTGAACATCTCCACACCTTGGCTGCGGGCCCAGGGCAGCGGGGCCTGAGCAGGCAGTGGCCCTGGGTTCCCAGACTGCTCTGCCCAGCCACAGACGCAGCCCACTTGTGATGCGTGTGGAAGAGACAGTGAGAAGGCCAGGGCGCATCTGAGTCCCTCCTCTTGCCTTGGTGGGAAGGGACGGACACACTAAGAGCCCACAGGACAGAGGCGTAAGACAGGCACAGCGGTTCACAGAAACCTCGCGTCTCTGCCAGAGAAGCAGCCCAGGGCCGAGGGAAACACGGAGAGCATCAGGTGATCTTGACTGGCGACTTCTTGTTGGCACACAGGAGGGACACGTAGGGGACGCCGATGAAGGCCCACTTCTCACTGGGCCAGAACCTGATGACGGGGCCCTGCTCGGGGATCTCTGAGGCCGCATCGAAGTAGGCGAAGCACACGCAGCCCAGGTAGGCAGCCAGGCAGATGAGGATGTGCCTGCAAAGAGCAGAGTGAGAGGGCGGGGAGGGCAAAGCGGCCCTGCAGGCCCAGCCGAGCGCTCCTGCTTCTCGCAGTCCGGAAGGGTGAAGCGGGTAGAGCCCTGGAGTACAAGAAGCTGCCCTGAGCAATCCAGGCCTGCTCCTGGAAGGTCCGAAAACATTTCCACTTACAGCCTGGAACAAACAAGCTAAGGCCCGGGGGCCTCCAGCAGAAAGAAGGCCGGGCCAGGACTTAAAACAGAAGTGGCGAAATGCGGACAGCAGGGCACGTCCGACCCGATGTCACTTTAACAAAAGCTGCCTGTCAATAGCTTATGCCTTCATCGAGGATACAATGAACACCCGCCCTAACACTGACCCCGCGAAGGAAGATTGTGAGTCTGAGCCCGCCCTGGCCAACCTAGCAAGACCGGGTCTCCAAGTTTAAAACTGAGGTTGGTGGGAGGGGACAGGGCAGGGACTGCGGCTGTCCCTCCTTACTGAGTGCCCCTGGGCTCCATACTCCACACCACAAAAAGACATAAAATAGAAGCAGTTAAAAATCCCTGCATTACACAGAACACCAAAACACCCTGAGCATTTCGACTGCGTCTGGCGGGGTGGAGCCGCAGCCCTGGAACAGGATGGGCGGGCCTAGGCAGGGACTGCAAACCGGCTGTGTCCATCCACACGGTTGCCGTGGGCTGTGATGACCACCAGGTGAAAGGCAGTAGCTCCCTGGGTACGAACGGTTACAAATGGAAATACTCAATAGAAAAGATTTGTTAAAAAGTAAAGGACACACTGCAAGAGAGGAAATACAGCAAATTTACATTTGAAAAAATGATCAACAATACTAATTTTTAAAAGACTAATAATAAAAACAAGATATACTTTTTCCAATCAAGTTAACTAAGATTTAAAAGAGTTACCATCCCCTATACGTAAAGATGTGGGTAAAAGGCATTCTCTGAACAGACTTTGGTAAAAGGTGTTCACTGGTCCCATCTCTTCAGATTTTGCAATTTAGATTACAATTTAATCCATAGGAATATTCAGGGATTAGAATCAATGCAGACATTTATTATAAATTATTGACAAAAGTGAAAAATTGGAGATAACCTAACTATCCACCAACAGATTGGTTAAATGAATTAAAAAGCATTAATATCGTGATGTATCAAATACAAAAAAATGTATATAATCGTATAGAATGGTGCTGCTGAGCCAGTATTTGGTTAAACAAAACTTGCATTAGTTTGCATCGCATATAGAATAATGCTATTTTTCTTTGTAAAAAGCAAAAAGTTAAAAAATATAAAGGTGCAATTAGATAGAAGGAAAATTTTTAAAGTTCTATGTCACAAAAGCCAGGTGTGGTAGCACACACCTGTAATCCCTGCACTCGGGAGGCTGATGCAGGAGGATCCCTGTGCGTTGGAGACCAGCCTGGGCTACATAGTGAGTTCCAGGTCAGTCTCAACTACATAATGAGATCCTGCCTCAAAAAAAAAAAAAAAAAAGTTCTCTGTCACAGAAAGATAAATATGGTCAAACATAAACTGAATATATCAGAATAGCTTCTATAGAAGATGTCGAATGTGTCCAACCAAAGAAATCATGTCTAAGGTAACAGACACACCAGTGATGCAGATCTGATCATTATACATTGTGCATATATATTGCAGTACCACAGTACACCACACAAATGTGTACAATTATGTGTCAAAAATAAAAATACTTTTAAAAGTAGGAGAAAAACATATATACATATTTACATACATACAGTATAAAATCTGAATAGACTTTATTTTTGAGGGAAATTATGAATTATGAAATTATAACAGCTACTTACTATACTTCTATGTTATTTAAATTTGTCATTGAAACCTGTAATCCCAGCACTCGGGAGGCTGAGGCAGGAGGATCACTGTGAGTTCGAGACCAGCCTGGGCTACATAGTGAGTTCCAGGTCAGTCTTAAATACATAGTGAGACTCTATCTCAAAAAAAAAAAAAAAACCTATAAATTTGTTATTGAAAATATAGATCACTTATTTATTTACCCACGTTTGTAGTATGACAGGAAAATAGATCCCAAACAGCTAGATATCAGATGTGCCAAGTTCGTGTCTTAGACAGTGGAGGTCTAAAGTCGGGAAGGTTTATTAGGAGAAAGCTCCCAAGGGAGAGGAGGGACCCAGGAGCATTGGCACCGAGACTATTTCTCGAAGAACGTTTTAGAGAGCAAAAGCATGAGGTGGGTACAACGTGCGTCCACTACAATCAACCAGTGAGATCACAAACACAGTTGCTCAGCCCACACTGATCTACTCGGGAGTGAAGCAGGTGGCAAGGGTGTATGTTGAGAGGTGTGAACTTCAGTTTGCCCGCAGCTGCTAACACAGAGGGAACTAAAACACTGCCGTAGCGCGCACGGGGTGGCCGATGCCCATGTGGACCTCCCGGGCCAGGGGTGCTGACTTCAGTGCAATCTCACGCTGCTGTTTCTCCCTCAGGGAGGCCTGCAGCCTGACCCCCTGGGGGCCTGACCTTCAGATGGGCCTGGCCTGGCACCGACTCCTCCTGGGGCCCATCCTCTTCGGACCACCGATTAATGTCTGTCTGTCTGTCGGTATTAAAGTCTACCTGTCTACAGCAATAGTGGCATGGTTCACAGTAGCTGAGCTGCGGAAACAGGCTCCGTGTCCGTCCATAGATAAATGGGTAAATAAATGTGATTCACACACACACACACACACACACACACTATTTTTCTGGCATAAAAAAGAATGAAATGACACTTGCAGGATAAAGAATAGAACCAGAGACTATAATGTTAAGCAAAATAACCCAGACTCAGAAAGTTAAATATTGTTGTTTTCTCTCATATGAGAAACCTAGTAAGTAAACTAATTAATTAAAAGAAAGATGGCAGGAAAAAAATACATCACTTGTGAAAAAGTACACCAGATTCATGAATAAACTAAGTTTGAGGCAAAGTTATCACATCATCTAAATTTTGAATTTTACATAAATCCCTACTGTAACAGGACTTTGACAAAAATGTGCACCTTGAATAAAGCCATATTTATACAGGGGTGTACATTTAGCAAATGCAAAGTATACACTTAGAAAGCTGTGCATTTTATTATCTGAATTCTAACTGCCCAATATTCAAAGTGTACAACTCACTGGTGAGAACTGAAGGTAAACCTAAGAAATTTCAGGCAGTGGATCCTAAGACTGAAGAGCCCAACGGGCCCTGCTTCGTTTCTGGAAGCATCTCTGGAAGCCCCCAGATGTATACTTGCATGGTCTGGGTCTCAAGATAAATGAACGTAGATTCAAGTTCCTTTGTGCAAAGGAAACGTAAGTCAGATCTCTCAGAAGGGACCTCTTCAGGCCAGCTCCAGCCGGACACCAAGGTCTGCGTCTGTCTGACAAAGCCGGCACCCTCAGCACTAGGATCCACCCCCGGGTGGGCTCCTGCTCACCACCAGAGCCACAAGGCCTCAGATCTCTCGATCCGCCTACCTTTTGCTATCAGCAAGAAAGGAGGGCAGTTTCTGGGGAGGAGCCTGTGTGTGGGGCTGACACTGCCTGAGGTTGGGACCTGCTTTCTGTGGTAACTTAGGGCGCATTCCAAAACAGGTGTTCCCGCTAGCTCTCCCTGAAGTGCAAGGCCATTCCCAGCACACAGGTGGGTGATGCGGTCTTATTCCCGTCTGTTCTCCCATTTTCTGTCTCTGCCTACATAACAAGAGCAGCTGAGACTGTCCCGAGAGGACCAGGACATTCCCCGCCCAACTCCACCCCACCCCACCCGGCCCACACTCGGGCTGCAGGTTCAGCGTTCAGCTCTGGAGCTCCTTTGTGCTTGAATGACGGAGCCGAGCTAAGAGGCTGCAGGCTTTCCTGCCCTGGCTAAGCTGCTCCTTGAAGCCAGTCGCCCTTCTTACAGTGATTCCGCTGCTCCTGGAAATCCACAAGTGGCGAAGAGAGGAACAAACGGTGGCTCTGCACCGAGCGGCCCCTTGAGGCCACCAGTGCACCCTGCAAGTGCGGACCCGACTCAGAGCGGCCGCCCCTCTCCCCACGCGGGCAGCGCTTACCACACACAGTGCAGGTAGGGGAAGTGGAAGGACGACAGCAGCTCACAGAAGGCCCGGTCGCTGATCCAGCAGAAGAGGGCCAGCGTCCACCAGAGGCCGGAGAAGAGGCCCAGCTTGAACACGCGCACGTTGTCACACCTATGCGGAGGGAGAGCGGCGTGGTCGGCTCTGGCTCTTCCCAGCTGCCTGAGCCCCTGCGCACCGCAGCTCCTGCCTGCCGCGGTCCCCTCCACCGTGAGGACCGTTCCTGAGTGCTGGTGCCCACCTGGCCTCGCCCTCTCTCCAGACCCCAGGACGGCTGGCGTCCTAAATAAACGCCCACCAGCGTCTTCTCCTAGCCTTTCCCTCTCACACACTTCACGTGCAGTCCCTCCTCCCTGGTTTCAAAACGGATCCCAAGTCTGTCTTCCCACTGCCGCCCTCTGCGCGCCTGCCAGTCGGAGGCAGCCACGGTGGGCTGAGATAGAGTCCGTCCAGGGAGGGGCTGGCCTCAAGGAAGTCGGCACAAAAGACATCGGAGTTGGGGCTGGGACACTGGCCAGGCTGCAGGCCTGAGGGGTCAGCAGTAACTCCGTGTGCACTGCAACCAGCCCCGCGCGTCCAGGGGGCCAGACCGCTGTCAGACACTAGAGGGCGACCAGAGCACCCGGACCCACCCCTCCCAGAATGCCCTTGCTCTTTCCATGCACCCTGGCTTCAAGACTCCTTTTCCTGCTGGATCGATGCTGGCTAAATGCCTATGTTGATCCTGTAGGTCTATGGACTGTGACCCACGCTGTACCCATGCTGTGACTTCGCTGTGCTAACTACCTCTGACAAAGCGCCTCCACAGCCCCCTACGCAGGACCCTGCCCAAAATCCAGGAGCCGTGCTCCTCCCTGTTCCCAATAAAACTCTCAACTTCTTCCTTTGGTTAGCAATTTCATTCCTCGATGTTGTGAGACCGTGAATTTGGCAGGCCAGGAGTCATATTTGTCCTGTTTCACATCATCTCCTCCACAGCAGTATATTTTAAATGCAACCAAGTCTCTTGGCAATGATTTACCACAGATTTCAGCACATGCAGGTCAGGTCCTGGCCCCAAATCAAAATAAATGTGTTTTGTCAAGGGCGGCAGGTCTGGAATGGACGGCGACGACGTAAACAGACCAGGCTGGGTTTGGGGATGAAGGCCCAGGAGAACGGAGGCCAAGGAGGCCGAGCGCGCTTGGCCTGGGCACCTGAGGTGGAACCAAGGCCCTCAGCGAGAGAGGCCCGGCGCATGGGGTGTGTGGCGGGGGCTGCTGGTCACTATGGCCGGCCGGCCTGTCGGGGGAGCAGCCCAGAGGGTGGAGCCGAGGGAGGTGAGGAGGGGAAGGGCTGATCTCCCAGGGAGGGAGGCAGGGAGGCAGGAGGCCGGCCCAGGCCCAGGGACAGAAATCACTTCCCTCGGAATTATGTACAAAGATTTGAGTACTAGAGGGAAATATGTTTCCTTGTTACACAATAACGACTGTGAAGAGGACTGCCTCTCCCATTTTGCTCAATTAGGTATTAGGAACTCAAACATTTTTTGTGGGGGGCAAGAATCAAACTCAGGGCCTTGCGTTTGTGAGGCAGGCACAGTGCCACTGAGTTAAATTCCTGGCCCCTTCAAACATTTTCCCTCAAGCTATTTTTAACAAAATTACTCATGAAAACATGTAATTAGACTCAGGATTTAAAATGAAAGTACAATGTAGTGAATTCTCAAGAAGCACAACTAAATCCAGAACAGGACCCACTGCAGTCCGGTGTAAGCCAGCAACACGAGTGAGCTGAGATACAAATGAAAACCCCTCAGATGCCTCACCAATATCCAGGATTCTAACAGCCAGCAGGCCAGGAGCACCGGGGGTCAGCATCCCCCCAGGGCCCACCAGGGAGAATTCCTGGGTCATAAAGGCTGAACCCTCAGGAGAGGAATAAGTAGGAAGAGGCATCGACACCTCTCTTTTAGGTCAACTTCTCTGTCCGTGCTGAAACATAGAGGCAAGAAAGTAAAGAAAATAGGATTTGTTTACCTCCCACACAACACGTACCAGGGCAAATACGTCTTACTCAACCCTCCCTGCAAGACTGGTACCTCAGCATTGCCAGCATCATTAGTGGCCAGGAGACCCACATTAGCAAAAGGCCTGAGCTCCAAGGCCAGTAGAAGGCAAGGCCAAGAGCCCAACTCAAGCCCAAGATCCTGCGACACCCTCCACCGGACGGATGGCGTCTCAGTCCTCTGACTCGGTAATGAGAAAAGTCAGAGGCTCCTGGAGAACAAGGGGAAAGGCAGTCTTTCGAATTTTCAGAGGTAATGGTAAAATTCACGGATCAGTGAAGTATAATCTCCGCCTTTGAAGAACACCACATTAGAGGAACAAGAGTATATTAAGAGATAATATTCAAAATAAAATAGAAAAGCACAGAGCGTGTGGCTGAGAGGGGGCTAGGAGAGCCTCAGCAGGAGCTGGCCCCGGGATGGACGTTGTCACTGCAAAGCAGATGCGAGCCAGGGCGTCCCCGGGAGAGAGTGGGGTAAGCAAGGACCTAGCACAAGCACTCGGGGAGCCTGGTCACAGGCACGGCGAGGAGCAGGCCGCAAGGCTCCAAGGAGCTGGACAGGGAGGCGCCACTGCAGGTCTCCACACGGAAGAGGGAGTGGACTGGGAGAGGCCCCTCTGGGAAGAACACAGCAGGTGGGCTGCTGGCTGGGCCTGTGGCCCTGGGAGGACCCAACCCACCACAGACGCCACGGGAGAGCCTGGGAACTGCAGCAGTCACCGGGGGTGGCAGGAGAGGACGGTCAGGCACCACTGTGGAGCTTGGAGTCAGAAGGGCCTGAGAGCAGTGACACTGCTGCGTCGACCTGACGACTGAAAAAGGACCTGAGGAGGGGAGGAGCCGGCGTGGGAGCAGAGGGAGAGGCAACAGGCATGGAGCCAGACAGTGACCCGGAACCCTGTGTCTGGAAAACAGGAAGTCGCACCGAGACTGGAGATTCTCAGCCAGCCGTGGGAACATGACACAGGGCCCCAGAGAAGAGGAGGCCAAGGGCAGGGAGCAGGACAGCCAGGTGCTACAGGACCACAGAAGCCGAGCGAAGAAATTAATGGGAGCCTGAGTGTGACCAGATGCTTCACACAGCCAGGATGAGGGGGTCTGAAAAGGGTTACCAGAGTGGGATATTAAAAGGCTGTTACTACAGCCTAAAGAAATAATTATGGGTGAACAAAAATACATAAAACTATTCATCAAAGTATTTATAGTAGTGAAAAACCAGAAATAATCAACATGTTTAAAAGTAGAGAACTGGCTGACTAAACTTAATATACCAGCAAGTTAAAATTCTATATGGTTATTTTTTAAAAATCGTTATTACAGTGAAGGGCATATTGCCATAAATCTCCCTCACAATACTCTCCCTTGATTCAAATACACTTTTCCTGTTGCTCTTGGCACTTTCTGAAGCAGTTCTGGAAGTCTCTACTTGATTTCTTTATTTTTATTTTTTTATTTTTTGGTACTGGGGATCAAACTCGGGATCTTGCACTTGCAAGGCAGGTGGTAGAATCACTGAGCTAAATCCCCGTATATGGTTATTAAAAATGAGAATCTAAGCAGGGCATGGTGACAAGCACCTATAACCCCAGCACTCTGGGAGGCTGAGGCAGGATGATCCCAAGTTCAAGCCAAACCCGGGCAACTTTTAGCAAGATGGTATCTCAAAAAAGGAAGGGGGCCAATTTGAGGATGTAGCTCAGTACCAAGACCCTAGGTTCAACCACAGCACAATAAAAAGAGGACACAGATCTATACTTATTTACCACCGTACAGCAGCACCTCAGCTCTCAAACTTAATTTATTCCACAATTTTGCAAAAAATGGTTATGGCTGTGTTGGTCACCTGATGCAGAGTTCACAAAAAAGCAAAAATTCTGTCAAACACTTCTGTTTGAAAACCAAAGTGCTTGCAAACAAAAGTGTTCATGAACCAAGGTACCACTGTATATTCCTAATAAAATAAAATTTTAAATTAACTTACTCTTAGAACCTCATTTTTATAAAAATGTATACTACAGAGCTAGGTTTCTTATTAAGATAAGATGGCAAAAATACAAAAGCCTGAAAGAACACACCCCAAAAGGTTAATGGTCTTCACCATCAGGGGGCCGTTCCATTGTTTCTATTTAGCATTATGAGCCAAGCACTGCTACTAAGTATTAACTGTATTTAATAAGTGATTAATGTATTTCATTTTTTGTCTGTCTTTATTCAGATACTTCTACCACAAAATATGAGTCACTTGACAAAAATTTGGTCTTTTTGAAAGGGCCATGAGTAACCACTGAGAGAACGTTTCAGAGTAAAGATGGGAGGGAGCCAGACCACAAGAGATTCCAGAATTCACGGAAAGAAGGAAGGGTGACGAGTAGAGAAAGCTCTCTTGAGAAACCTGGCCCCGGGAGGACAGAGAATGAACGTCACCTGGCTGCGCTCGGCTCCGCTCGCTAGACCTCAGTCACCACTGTCGCTGGGTCGGAGGTGAGCGCTGAGCAAACCTGCAGCTACCACAGCAAAAAAATCTACCTCAGGCTGTGATTACGGCAGCATTTTAGACAAACAAAAGAGAGACGGTGTTATGAAGGCAATGATCTGACGTGAGCTTTACTGAAAACTTTTGCCCTGTGAAGAAACATGTTTGATGAAAATATATAACTTTAGACATTAGGCATTAAACTTAAAGGGTGATAAGACGACCAGTGATTTATTAAAGGCCACAAGTTCTTCCCCTCTATACCTCTTTACGATCACAGATTTCAATTTGCTACACAGATGTAGAAAAGGGGCTTCCTCCAGAAAGCTAAACATCCTCATGCCTGAAATGTGCAGTTTACATCAGATGTATTGTTCTCCGAGACAGACACCAGATAGAATCAGCCAGGCAGATTCTGGAGAGTTTGTTTATGGTTTTACTGAAGTATTTTTCACATACTGTGTTTTGTACTCAAAAGGATTCACTGCCATAGTTATTCTTCTAGGACCAACCTCAGCCTGTTTCTGAAATGAATCTCTTACATCCCCAGTTACTCAAAGAAGCTAACTAAATACCCGAGACCTGACATGTATCTCTTGCCAGGCATCAAGTGCAGGTAACTCTCCGGTCACCTGTGGCCCGGACTGCTGCAACTGAGGATCAGAACAAGCCCCAGAGGCGAAGCACGGGGGAGGAAATGTCTGTCTCCTCCCTAAACTAGGACAGAAGGGTGACATGACAGTTACACAGAGCAGTTACCATACAGAGAGAAGCAGATCCCAGACTTCACCTAAGACACAAGGTCCACCACAATGAGAAAGGAATAGACTAAATGCAGTTTTAAAGTGGCTGCAAAAAAAAAGAGCAAGAAATGTTTTCAACAAATACTAAAATAAGGGCCGTGATTACATATATTTTAGTTGGGGCTTGAGGACAGTCACGTATACACAAGTGCTAAACTAAAATGTGTTTGAATATCAGCCTGAACCGTGGACATACAACTGCCCAAAGGAAATGCTTGGTAGCAAGGGCTTTCTCTGAGCCTCTGAGACACAAAGCCTCTGGAAGTGTCACCTTCGATGGCTTTTGCTTGAGGTTAATGTTTCTTTGTACACAGAAATGTACTTTCCCTGTGTCTTCTTCTTGTCCTTCTGTGTACGAATGCAATGACCTCTTTATGGCTTCCTTTTTCTCCTTATTTTTGTCATATGGACAAATCTATTTTCCATTCTACAGAATTAAGCCTAGCAGCCATTCTGCTCTGAGACTCCCGCTGGGCTCGTGTCTGACTGTCAGGATGCGCACATCCACTAAATGGCTGCCCCACATCTGAAAAGGAGACCGTTAACATTCTGACCATCCCACAGCTCCAGTCTAACCATCAGGAGCGAAAACTTCCTACAGAATAGAAGTCTCTTCGGGGCTGGAGGACAGCAAAGAATGAGAGCAGGTATTCCCACCCCTGGGAGGCCCACGGGGTCAGCAGGAGCACTGGCACCCACCTCTTCAGCTCCGCCACGAGCAGCGCGGTACATGGAACTCCCAGTGTCATCAGGGAGATGTTGTTGATGGCAGGCTTGACAAACGCCAGGCAGGTCGTAACCGCAGACAGGACGCAGACCACTGCCTTGAACCTGCCCCTGAATCCACAGAAGCAACACCGAATCCATCAGAAAAGCAGTTCTCATTTGTTTGCTTAATGTTAGGGCACTGCTGTATGTGCAAACTGAAAAGAAATTCTGCACACATGAAGTACCAAGGGCCTCCCAGACATTTACACTTACTGGCTCGGTAATCCCATTTCTAGGGTTTTATTCTTAGGAAATAATCAGAGACTTTCAAAGTACTCAGCCACAAGAATGGTAAAACTAGAATCAACCTAAGTCTCTGAAGGTGAGACATGGATAATCATTCTCCAGGTGTGAATTTTCCTTGCTTTTTCAGGGTTTGACTTCACAGCAGGCTTGGACAAATGTTTTCTGTGAAGGACGACAGCACAGCTTAGGTTTTTACAGGTCCAAATGTCTGTGTCAGTAACATCTGATTTGCACAGACAAGATCTGTTTGGCCCACCGGATGCACTCTGCCAGGTGAACGTGCATAGCTCTTATATGAGAAGCAGAGACGTTGATAAACCAAATTTTTCCTATTTAAAAGAAAAAAAAGGGGACCGGGACTTAGCTCAGTGGTTCCGCTGCCTGCCTCACAAGTGCAAGGACCCAAATTTGATCCCTGATACCAAAAAAAAAAAAAAAAAAAAAAGTCCTAATGTGCCTAGCACACAAAACTAGTTTTGTTTTAAAGGATATTCCAATAGTATCTACATCAGCTAACAACATACAAGTCTAGTATGCACTAGAATTTGTCTTGACAACTTATTTATGTGACAATGGAAAAATACTGACACTGTCCTCACCCCCTGGAGCGGAGGTCATTTTGCTGAAGAGAGCCGGAAGGGGCGACGTGATCCTGGACATGCTTCTTCTCTCTCAGAGACCCCACTTCCTGAGCTGTGAAACAAAGAGGCTGTGCCAGAGGATCTCTACTTCCTCATCTATGACTCCAGATGAGGAGCACGTGATTTCCCTCAAGTTTCTGTTACTGCTCATTAGCCGACTTTGCTTTGGCCAAGAGCCCTGGAACAGGTCACGGTTAGGAAATCAATTTGAATGAGATTATATTCTAGAGAAATCAAAGGGCACTGAACTTTCAAAATACAAATTTATCTCTTAAAAAGGAAAACCATTTATCATCAAGGCACAGGAAATCATTGATCAAGCTGCCAACTTTCTGACTGGAATGAACAGGCCCTGAACTCTACCAGAGGAAAAAACACATGGGAAGGGATCTAGGCAGCAAACCCTCAAGAGAATCGTGTTTTTCTTCTGACCCCGAGTGGCCTTCTTCAAGGACCAGATGAAAGACCGCGGCTCCGGCCTGTGGACATCACAAACAGGAGTCGTGGGACCCACAGTCCCGCTTCCCTGGCTTGAAGTTCTGAAACATCGAAGCTGCTTGGATTTTTGGTTGGCTTGTGTCTGCTCCCTCCCTCTCCTCTCCTTCTGGGATATCAGCTACATGCACTGATCCACCTTCTTACTCTATCACTTGTGTCCCTTACAAGGTCCACCTTTCTGTGTCACTGGGCTTCATTCTAATTTTTTTTTTTTTTTTTGGTTCCGGGGATCAAACTCGGGAACTTGTGCTTATGAGGCAGGCGGTGACACCACTGAGCTAAATCCCTAGCCAGTCTAAGTTTGTTTTTTTTTTAACTTTTTAAATATTTTATTTTTGTTTTTTGGATTGGATAAACACATAATCAGAAATGTCCAAAGTTTATCATCTCCCCATACCCAGGGGTTTGGAATTCAGGTTAGAGAGACCAATGGATTAATTAAAAGTACAAATGTTTCAGTGAGACAGACATGTGTTCAAATCCTGCTACACCATTTAGCCACTATGGACCCTGACAACTTAACCCTTCAAGCCTTTTCCACAAAAAATCAAAGCGCCAGCATGCATAATATTCTTGCGAGCACTGGAGCATTTATCACAGTGTCTGGTACATGTGGTGTACAAATAAAACTTCTTATTGCCATCTTATTCTCGTGTGAGAATCAGTATCATCTTAATGACACTACCACTGGTGATAATATCACAGTCTGGGGAGAAGCGGACTGAGCTGGCACCACAGTCCTTGAAGGCTCTGTACAGTGATCCCAGGCGGTATAAAGGCCAGGCTTGAAGACTCGTGCTGTCTTCAGGGAGCCCCCCACGAGCACTCCACCACGCCGCGTGCAGAAGGTGTAGGGCCCACGAGGACGTCCCATGGACACAGGCAGAAGGCACGGCACCAGCAGCGTCTCAGAGGCCGGAGCGGGCCTGGCAGTGTGCTCCCCAACTGCGATGACCCCACCCCGTCTGCACCCTGTGTTACTCTTTGCAGCCCACTTGGTAACAGAACACAATGCCAAGGGGCCCTGAGTACCCTCACCCTGTACTCTCCAAACCAAAATCTAGCAGCTCAGGACTCTATAATAACGCTGTCACTCTTCTTATCATTAGCAGCTTCCAAGCTCTCAGACCTTAGCACAGCCCTTTATTATGTAAATATCTCAGAATGCCCCTTTTACTCTACTGCAATGAAATGGAATTTCTGGGTGATAAAATCCGTCATCACTGTGACCACTAAAAACATGTCCATCAACTTCCTAAGTGTCCCTCACGAGACGGAAATGTCCCTTATTAGGCTCCACGACTTTAAACTACCGGAGTCCCAAAGCACAACCTCTTATAACAGACAGAACCTGGGATTCACAGAGTATAGCGTTTGGGCCTGGAAGGGAGCTCGAGGGCCAGTGCAGCCCTGCCCTTGATCTGGAAGGCACAATTAGGTCCCGGCTGCACCCTTGCTACCGGGATTTAAAAAAGAAGTGGGTTATGCTGTGAGGGCTGTCTCTAGATTTTGCACAGGCAAATCATAAAGCGTATACACTGGGGTAAGTTATTTAGAAAGTAGGTATAGGGCTGGGGATGTAGGGGTACCGCCGCCTGCCTCGCAAGCACAAGATCCCAAGTTCAATCCCTGGTACCAAAAACAAACAAACAAACAAAAAAAGAAAGCAGGTATGATTAGTCCATAAATAGTTCTTTGTCCTTGTTATCTCAAAACAAAAACATCAGTTATTAATAACCATTAGTAGCTGAATAGACCTTCTGAAGTTCCCTGCGCCGTTCTAAGATGGACGTTTTAACCACAACCACACCCTGCTGGCACAGTGCACACTGACGTTGTCCCGCTGCCCAGGCGCCCCTGTCCTCCGGCCGCTGTCCAGATGCGCCTCTCACATAACTGCACACGTGCCGCGTGCCGACTGCCCGGGCCCCGCACGGCACACTTCAGTTCATTTTCCCATTTACCTCAGATTCTGAGCTAACTACATTGTACAGATGAGCCGTATGAGTCCCAGAACACTGACAGGAAAACAGCAGGCTGTGATTCAGAGCCATACCTGGCTGGTCCACACTCACTCAGTCACCGAACCCAGCCCCACCCCTCCAAACAGCTCACCCTGGAGCTACACGGTTGATCAACAAATACAGCGAATGTTTACATAAAATGCATTTCAGTAAGAGGCACAGTGCACTAATCCCCTTCACAATACTCCCCTTGCCGGGTTTGGCGGCGCATGCCTGCAATCCCAGCACTCCGGGGGCTGAGGCAGGAGGACTGCTGAATGTGAGGCCTGGCTGGACTACACAGCCAGCCCCTATCACAAAAGACTGAAAAAAAGAGAAATACTCCCCTCGCTGCACACAAACCTATCCCATCATTCTTGCCACTTTATGAAGCAGCTCTGGAGTCCTCCCTTCAGGGTGTCTTTACAAGGGGTGACTTTACAAATACAGCGACTGCTGCTGCCCAGTGCCACCCGAAGAAAGGCGGCCCACGAGAACGTTAGTGAGCCCTCAGCACCACACTCAGCAGACCCAGCACCGTGAGACTTCTCCCCCTTCCCTAAAGTCACAGTGACTGTGAAAGGTCAGTGTTTTGAATCAACTCAGGACACGCAGGCAGCACATTAAAGGCCCTACAGAAGAGGCACCCAGAGTTGCTTCCCCAAGTGGCAAGAAGGATGGGACCCATGTGTTCAAAGAGAGCAGTATTTGAGGGGGATGAATGGCAACATGTCTTTGACTGTAATGCGTTGTTTATTTGAAACACATACTACATATTTTTACTAACTTCATCTTCTTAATATGTGATAAAAATATTCCAGCAATGTCGAGATCACAAAAGAAATCGGTAAAGGAGGCAGGGAGACTAACGCTAACACACCAGTCAGTTCACACAGATACACCAGATGATCCCTGCCCCACAGTGCTCCTGCTTTGGTCCGACCCGCTCGAGCAGAACTCCACTTCACCCGCACGGGGTGAAGCCCACAGCATCCGGCCTCCTGTCCACGCACCACGGGAAACAAGGTGGGCCACAGAGCTGCAGTCCCTGTCACTGCTCCCCTCGCGGCCTCTTCTCCACAACCTCTTTCTGCCATCTGTTCGAGGATGTGAGGTCCTGAGCGCAACTTCCTCCCTCCGCCCCTGGCTGCCCTGAGAGCTCAAAGACTGAGCTCCACAGCAGCCCTCACTGCAGTCCTGGGCGGGACACCGCCAAGGACACCGGTGTGAGGACTGTCTGCAGCCTGCTTCACGGACAGGAAACAGAAAAAATAAAGGCAAGTCACAGGGCTGGGAAGCTGTACGGCTGGTCCTGAACCCAGACAGGCTACAGGGCCAAGGACACACACACACAGCCCTCGGGCTTCCGAAGGACTCCCCCACGCAGGGAGAGCAGTCCCATGGGGCGCCGCTCCCCAGCAAAGCGCAGCAGGTGCTGATGACAGCAAAGTCCAGGCGCTCACAGGCCCCTCTGCCTCACACTGTGCTTTCACTGCTAACGTCGGAAGGGTCCCGTTACCAACATCATTCCCTACCTCCTTCTCACCTGCTCAGAACAACATCACCCCCCTCCCACCTCCATGAAATGTGTAAAATAAAAAGGCTTTCTACAACTGACACAATAAAAACTGTCACTTGGAATTTCAAATAAGCCTCCAGAATGCCACAGACAAATTACAAAAACCTGATTTCTTCAATTTCTCACTTGACCCCAGGACTTGAAAGATGAGTTCTCAGAGAAAAGTGACTCCTCAGCTCCTCACCAGCACACACAAGCTCAGGGAAGGGCAGAGGTGGCCGGAGGGGCCTGCTGAGACAGCAGAAGCCACAAGACAGGCACAGTCAAAAAGGCCCCGCCTACAAAATCATGCGCTACCCTGCCTTGTGTTCTGCCTCATGTCATCTACTAAGTTTCTCCTAACGATGAACCAGAAAGCCAAGGAACAGACTAGAAACCAGAGCCGGGCACAGCGGTGTGTGTCCACAGTAACCCTAGCACATGGGAGGCTAAGGTACAAGAACGGCAAGGCTGAGGCCAGCCTGGACTCCACAGCAAGACCCTGACTCACACACAGACACAGGCACACACAGCTGGGAACTGAAGGCCCAGAAACTGACCCGGCCACATCCTGAAGTACACTTCCTGAGGCTGGGAGTGCAGCAGAGTGGTAGAGCATGTGCTTGGCATGCATGGGGCCCCGGGTTTGACTCCTAGGATCAAAAGATCAAAAACAAACAAACCAAACTTCAGATGTGAATGTAGAAAGCACTTTCACTGCTAATCACTTCCCCTGATAACAAGATGGAGAACCACATTTCATCTCACACCAGAACTCACTCTCATCCTCATTTGTTGACAAGTTACCTCAGGAAGATATTTCTGCCTGGCAGGTAGCACCATTCAATTCAAATCCTACTTCCCATGACAAAGACTGCACAACTCATTTATTTAAAGTATGCTTTCTTCCCAAATCACTTGCAAATGAAAAACAAGGATAAAAAATAACAAGTATTTATTGAAAAATATGTCAACAAATTCAAATTAAAGGCAAAAGTTAAAGTTCCTCTCTACGACAGTGCTGAAGAATAGCCAACAGCAGCAATTGGCATCCTAGCCCTGCCAAATGCATTTGTACAAAAACACTCCAAAGCAGTTTCATCCCGGATGTCACACAGGCAACCCCACACTGCATGTGGGGCTGCGTTTCTCTCACAGACCTCCTCCACCTCAGGGCTGGAGGGCGGCCGGCAGCTCCTGCTCTTTTTCAAAGTAGCAAAAAACCAATGAGTTCTTTTATTTTCTGGTACAACTCTTCTCAGGCAAACACAGCTTGCTCCACTGTTAAGCTCTTTATGTGCAACTGTTGTAGCTTTGAGAAAACAGCGCCCATGGCGAAGCGCTCTGGGCCGTTTCTCCTCCCTCCTCAGGCCTCACACAGCTCCTCAAAGGGCTCTCCCTGGCCAGCTCTACATCAGCACCCAGGCACGTCAACGCACCAGCGTCCCTGCTCAGCACAGCGCAGAACACTCACACTATGTTACTCACTTGTTTGATTTGTAAGCTGTGCAAATACGGCACAGGGACAAACTCTGCAGTTCTGTTCACTGCATAGCCCAGTGTGTAGAAAAACCCAGAGAATAAATAAGTATTCAAAAATATTTGCTGGATGGATAAGCTTAGAACCCTAATACAATGGACATTAAAGTACATATTAAAATGCTGGGAATCCTGGTTTTCCAGCTTGAGATACGCATATATGTGTGAATGTGTGTGTTAATGAGAGAGCAAGAGAGTGAGTGGGGAGAGGGGATGGAGGGAGAGAGAATAATCAGAAGCAAAAACAATGCAACTTGAAAACTAGCTCTAGAGCTCCAAGAACCAAATAACTGGAAGGATTCTACCTCCTAAATAGAAAGCTGGTAAGCTGGATCATACTCAAGGAAATGTTCAGCAGGAAATCCAAGGTCTTTGAACTATGATCCAGACGTTTCTCTCCCATTGAGTCTCTCCACTCTTGTTCATAGCAAACAAATCAGACCCTTGACTTTTTGTCCCTACCATTATGTAAATTATTCCCCAAACTTTATAAAAATTTCTTCTTTTAGGTCAGTTCAATGACACTGTGAGATCGCAAGAATCGGTGGATACCAAGCAAGTACGCGACAAGTGGTCGCTAGGATGAGTTTGGTGCTGCGCAGCCCGTCCCGATGTGCAGGGGCTGAGCAGGTGCCACCCCTGTGGCACACACACGTGCTCCTGGAAGCTCACCTGTCATTCCGGAAGACCTTTGGGAGGTACCTTCTGGGGAACCACATGGCCAGCGCACACATCAAAACCCAAAGGATCGCAAGTTCATCAAGCATCTGACCCAGGAAGCTAAGGGTCGCATGGAAGTAGACAGATCCAATTCCTAGAATCAATTACAACCAATAAAACAAAGTCACCACAAAAGAACAGACTCACAAACTCAGTGACTGTTAAGGAGAGACCTTTACCAACTGCTACCAAACCGCCAGAGCACTCTATCTCTCTGGAAAAAAAGAAACTGAAGAAGGAAACACACCATTCAGGCACCCAGACCTCCAGCCCAGAAAGATTTCAAGAGGGGCCCGAATATCAACACATCAGAATTGTAACAATTGCACTTCAGCACACTCTGTCTGCATCCGCTGAGCCTTCTCTGGAACAGGCAGTAAATAAAAGTCAACATTACTTCACTGTTAAGAATTCCCAACCTGCCTGGGAAGGAAACGGAAGTTACACAAGTATTTCATAGAACAATGAAGGCAATGAGGACGCAAACGTCCAATTTTTATTTTGTTTCATTTTGCTTTGAGACAGGGTCTCGCTTTGCATTTCAGGCAGCCTTGAACTCGCAAGGATCCTCCTGCCTCAGCTTCTAGAGTGCTAGGATTACAGGCCTGTGCAACCACACCTGGCACATCTCAATTTTTTTTTTTTTTTTTTTTTTTTTTTTTTTTTTTTTTTT